GAATTTTTCCAAAAGAATGAGACTCAAACAAGGGCTTAGTGTGTTTCAACCTTACAAGGCATTCTCTACATTTCTCCATCATAGATGTATTTCTATGATTAAAAGGTAAATGATACGGTAACTTTTTAAACTAAGTTACCCCCACATTTCCTCAATTAGGAATTCTTATGCAATCTTATAATGTTGTATCCATATATCTTTGAACTTCCTCATATAAGTTCATAAGATTAATGTTAACCCCCACATTTCGGGTATACTCGAACTTAGAGTTCCTTAATATGTCAACCCCCCACATTTGGGATTTTACTTGAACTTTAACTCTTTTGTAGTTCAATTTGCTTATCACTTCAATAATAACCATGAAAGTCTACATACTTTTAGATAGTTATCATTAATTCACAATGTACTTCAATCCACTATTTAATTTTGATCACACAATTTTGATCAAGGTCATCTCATAGACCTACCATACTTTTCAAGCATAAACCAACACAATTTGGTTCCATGATTAAAGTCCAATTCAACAACGAATGAGACTAATCTCCAATCATTGACATTTTATCACTTTCGTGACCTTCACAAGATAGCATCATATCACCTCAATGACATGGTACATATTCGCCTTATTCACTTTTGGACAAATCACATTTTGTCTCTTTTATATGCAAACACGATTTTCCATATGATTATCTCACTTAATTTGTGGCTATCAACATTTCAATAGAACATGAAATCGATCATCAAGTTTATCAAGTGATTCTCATATTCTAATAGAACACGTAGTCAAGAAATTTCATGTATTTCCAACAAATAGTAGGCATCCTTACACATCCTTTAGACCCATTAAAGATTAATAGGCTGGTCTCAAAATACAGATATGGATGTGCTTTACTTGCACTTCGAAGTCCATAAACCAACATAATGGCAAATGCACCGTTCAACAAATGATGCCCTATAGAAACATGTGGGCTACTCAAGTGGGTTCGTGTATTTTCCAAGCAAATGTGACAACCCACATATTGGAATTAATCACCGAATAACAACCATAATCAAATAGATCTTTAGCCACCACAATTGGTTTAAATTACATTTTTTAAAATGTCATGCATAAGAGCCATTTCCAATTGTCACAACAAAGTGAGAATAATCAATTAATCAAAATTGATTTTCACAATATCCTTTATACATGAAGGTTATTTATATTATAAATTTTGTTATACTAATATGCAAACACAATTTGTGCTCTACAAAATTTCCATTTCTCAATAAATGCGCTTCCGCTTTAAAATAAATTAGGACAAATCACAATTTGTCATGCTTTTATGCGAATATAATTGACATATAATCATCTCACTTAATTTCATAGGATTAAATGAGGCTATCAACTTAACCCAAGTTAATATGAGTTCAACAAGACATGAAACCAATCAATCAAAATTATCATGTCATTTTAATTTTCTAGTAGAGAAATGGTCATAAAAGTTCACATAAAATTCTAATACTATAGAATTTTTCCATATATACAATATCATGAATATTATTGCAATAATATAGTATGCACATCAAAATTTCAACCATTTAACCATATGGGTTAATGCCAAAAAATTATGCATCTTCGAGTGAGCACGTGTGAATAATTTTTTCCAAATATTCTCACACATTTTCCTTTATGCACATACATTTGTCAAAATCAAATAAACACTTGCACACATCAACTAATGAGAATCAAATCCTACTCATAGTCACCATACTATAATACGACAAAATATTTCATCAAGTGACTATCACCAAATAAATCAACTAGTTGAAAATTAAATTAATCAATTGAAATCCCAAGTCTTATATGACAATTTGGAGCATATTCAAAGATCCCAGGTTATATTAATTTCTAATTTTCACACTTATGATATATTCAATCATATCCATGGCATGGCAGAATAGTATACACGCCAAATGAACAATTTAGGAATATGAATTAATCATAGAACCGTAACCGGCCAAATAAATCCTTTTTGGCACCGGTGGATCATTCAATTCAAAATTGAATAATCCGATTTTTATTTTTATTTTTATTTTTTAAAATAGGAAGATACATCTTTCCACAACAACGTGCATATACACAGTGATTATAATGCCACAGAATCATGATTTATGACATGCATACAGATATGGAATAAAATTATTATCAATGGCAAAGCACCAAAATAACAAAACCAAAATTAAAATTGGCCATTTTATGGTTTCGAGTTTGTGCCTTTATGTAATCATTTAACCATAATCAACTTCTCATGATTCCTTCATTATTTTCAACAGTCAACAGATAACTTCCCAAAAAAAAAGGTAGTTCAAATTCAAATGATCTCTTTTCAGAATTCAATAGATACGTCCACCGAAGAAACCAGATGCATAGAATATTATTTTGTAAATTCTAAGCCATGTGGACAAACAACTTACTGTAATTTGTATAATGACTTTGGAGATTATTTTATTATTCTCTCCATGTATTATGTAATCACCCACTTATATGTGAAATTGGATTTGGAAATACAGCCAGTAGGGATGCACAAATCTGTCACTTATACCGTTATACTGCACAACTTTCAATTATTTTGAATAGGTAACTTACTAGATTTCCACATGCATGCAACGGTCGAAAAATGTGCTCTTTCATTAAACTATAACAGAATCATATGCACACTGGTTCATGGAGGAATGCATAGTGCAAATGACGATCTGAATAAAAACACCCTTTTACAGATGGTGGCGGCAGTTAATATTTTTCCATCAATATGATTATATGAGTGCACAAAACAAATTTATGTGCTTGCACAATCCCAGAACGCATACTATATTTTATGGAATCAATTGGATGTCAAGCACATGGGCACAATAAAACTTCCAAATGTGAATATAAATGGTACGAGACAATTATATTCACAAAAACATACCTTTTGTATGTGAGAAGATTGAATATAATTTCATCTTACCAAACGGGATCAATCCTTTCATTCTTCAACAGAAACATCGCGTTCCAGATTTCTTTTCCAATGAAGTGTTGATTTATCGACTTGATCGTCGCTATCGTAGTTTCATTCTTCATTGCAAAAATATCGTTTGAGATTGTTGGGAAATTATTCACCACTGGGGTTGGAGAAGAAGCAATATAGAAAATTAATCAAGAGAATGAAAAAACGAATCAGGATCATGATGGAAATGGAAGGCTCAAACATAACATTACATCGTTGTCCTCAAACGATATTTGCCCCCTCTTGGTATTAATGTTGGTGCTTAAAAGATCTCGTGGCAAATGGTTTGAAGGATTGATCAAACCTTGATGTAAAGAAATACAAAAGCACAAGTATTTCTCCACCCGAACTTGAAGAACATAAAGGGAATATATGAATGTGGAGGAAGAAAGAATTTTTCTTTCTTATGGAATGATGACAGATTACCATATGTTTTGTAATTTGATTTTCATGTGTTTTTTATGTCCAACAAACACATATTTATAGTCATGAATCATAGCTTCACGAAATGGTGCCAAAACAAGATGAAAAGTGACAACTTTTAATCCAAAACGACTCCGAAGTTTCAAATTGAAAAATCAATCAACGGCTATTTTTTAACACTATGCGTACGAATAATATAAACCGTGCGTACGCAAAGTAGAAGTAAAATTTAATTCTAATTTTGCCAAAACACCTCGCGTACGCACAAAATTAAGCCTGTGCGTACGCATAAGCAAAAAATCAAATTTTTCATTTTTCAATTTCTTTTGATTATACCAATTCCACAATTAGTCCATTATCATTCCATTAATTTTGAACAAATATTCAACAACTCCATTAAAAAATCAAATCAAACTTTGGGCAAGCCATGCCATGTTGAATTTTTAACCTAGTGACCCATGAAGGGTGTCCAAAATATTTATTTTAAAGATTGCAGATGTACCAATAAAAATATTTATTTTTTCTCAATTATTGATTAAAAAAGACCCCTCCCCAATTCAGCTAGCCCATAATAGTGACGAGTTCACAGACCAAGCCGATTTTAACACCCTTTAGTCAAACAACACCATGCATTAAGAACCAAGGATTCTTTCGTAGTTGGTGCAATCAAAATTTTTGGAGATTCCAGGCAGACTCAATTTATGTCTCAGCATATAATTCAATGAAACAGCTATTTGCAACAAGGATTATGTTATTTGTCCCGAAAAGAACATTCAGAAGGTGAAATAAAGCTAAATGTATAGACTTGGTTAACGACCATGTGTTGCCAAAATCCAAACCTATGATGTAGAAAATAGTTTTTTAAAATGGGCGAATTCGATTATGCCAAGTAGGATGTCAACCAACATTGTCAACAAACATTGTACATATGACATGATTACAATTTGCCACATAATTATGCGTAGTGAAATAATTGGATGAAAAAGTTGATTAAACTATCCAATGATAAAATGTCATGTAGCATCATGTAACCCATTATATAAGGTTTGATGTATATGTAGCAAAGACTTCATGTAAAACTCAACATGAACAAGAGCAGAGGAAAGGAGAACGATTCAACAACTTACCTCCCCAAGTAGCTGAAACTTACCCTGAAATTGGAATGCTTAAGAGGCAAGCCGTCTATTATAAAATATGCGAGTGTACCAACTGCTCGATAGCCTGCATATTTCGGTAAGCCATATCCTAAGGAATACCACAAATACAAAGCAGAGAGAGCTGCTTGATAGGGTGCATATTTCGGTAAACCATAATTCTAAGAATATCACAAATATAAAGCAGAAAGAGCAATGCTACAGCTACATGAGTAGAATTCTCTCGCCGACTTACGTCTGTGCCTTCAGCCAACCCTATTTAAACAAGTTGGTGTAACCGGGAAACATTTCCAGTATTTTACAGTCTTTGATCCTCGAATCCAGGTTCACCAGAATAAAAATATGTGCTGCACTTTCATTATCCAAAATCATCTCATTCAAAATTTGAGGGCGTGGGGGTCGAACACACATTACATAACGAGGAAGATATAAAAGCCTTTACAAATTTACAGTGTTCATGCTCCAGTAATTTACATAGGTACACATTGCTCTAGTAAACAAAGTACTAACATCATATATTAAAGTTGGGACAAATTTCGTACATTTATTCGGCAAACCCATCCATGTCAAGCTGCTATTAATATACAAGCTAAGATTTGAAAAATGCCTCACGAATCCTTTCACTGTCAACTAAATAAGCAAAACCATAAGCCATGTTCTTCAAGGAGGCATCATGCAACTCCAATGATGACGTTGCTGTCGCATCTGTTGAGAAAAAAACCCTAAAGCCTCTAACAAATGCTTCTCTAGCCGTGGTCTCACAGCACAGATTGGTCATGACCCCAGTCACTATAACCTCTTTCGCTCCCATATTCATCAGCTTCTCCTCTAAATTTGTACCTGAAGATGCGCACCACGTCATTGTAGCTCAGCTTCATTAGTTTTGTGAATTTAAACAACAAAATATTGAACAGCTTTGCGAGAAAAAGTAAGCTTAGATTCCTTATTTGGGGATTTTCTCAACAGTCATCTAAAAAAAAAAAAAATTAAAAAAAAATCTCATTTAGATTCTCTAATCTTGCGATTGAATCTAAAGTGTTTGAAATTTAAACTGTCTTATAGAATAATGTCACGTGAAAAAGTGTAAACTAAAGTGTATACCATAGTGTGCATGTAGAAAGGTTATTTTTGTTTGAGATTTGCTATTTGTACACTGATTTTTGATACGTTGTTTGACCCTTGAATTGTTGTTAAGTGTCAATCGAACGGAAAAAAATGTTTGAAATTTAAGGAAAAGTGTAATCTTGTACATGTAGCGAGTTCTTTTTGTTTACTAAAAAGTGTAACTATACCATTGAAATTTTCGCAAATATTTCTATCCAGAGCAGATTATCAAGTATTAAGCATTATATTTGAAGGCCGAGGCACTATAACAAGACATCCATTTGCTATCAAAAGACACCCCTTTCGGCTCACTCTAAATTCCATTTCCTAAGTATAATCCATTAAGTTTTATTATCCTTAAATGAATTTAGCTTGGCACTAAGTAATATTAGGAATTTGATTCATACAAGCTAATTTGACACTCATTTCACTGAGTTAACGTGAAATGGAATTGCATGGTATGCTACAGTAAAGTATTTGAAATCCCTAATTCATTTTATAGAAACGAAATCTAAAAACCCATCAAATTAATTTAAAATCTTTAAAAGACTTGATGAATAGTAGTACCTCTGAAGGCGCTATATGTGTTCTTTTCAAGAACCGAGTCATCCTCCTTCCGATCCAACTCGGGGATGAGCTGGGACTCACGGCTGCCATCCATGATGAGGTCGCCGTTCCACCACTCGTAGAGCATGCCGTAGTCGGCGGGGGATTTGTGGCAGTGTCTGGTGAATATCACAGGGACAGAAGCGCGACGACAGAGGTCGATGGTGGCGTTGAGAGAGGGCAGAATAGGGCAAGCCATGGAGTAAAAGTAGTTCTGCATGTCAATGACCAAGAGGACCGCGGTTTTCGGGTCCGGGTTTCTCTTTCGGATCTCGAATTTCTCGTACGAAGACATTGGAGTGAAAGCAAGTTCTGCGCAGGTACTCTGGCAAGGAAATCTACAGGAAAAATGATGAGCGTAGAGAGGATTTCTCGCAGATTTTCTACAGATGATGCTGTGGCAGCATCTATGTGGTTCATTTTTTCCTATTATTTTGCCATTTTTCAACCATAAATTGCCAAGTATCCTTCCGGTATGAATTACGTGAGCCACACCTGTAAGTGTAGCGAACAGAGATAAGCCTCACTAGCTTCCAGTTAGTTCTAGATTAGTTAAAGGGAAATTTATATTTGTGGTCCCTGTACTTTTCCGTTTGAAGCACATGTCCCACAATCAAAATTTATTGGTTTTTCTAGTAATCAAACTATGAATTTAGGTGTACATAGGTCGTTTTTGACATTTCTATTAACGTGCTTCGTATGTTGTGAACATAATCACCTATGATAGGATTATTTTGTTTTCCTTGCGACGATTAATTCATCAGCGTAAAAAGTTTACTCTTGATATGGATTGTAAAATTCAAGTGGTACAATAATTGTATACATTATCAAATTGTAGTGTCAACTAATCGAATTGAGTTGGCTCGCGAGCCAAAATTCGAGGCTCAAGCTCGGTCTAAGTAAAATGGTCCGAACATTTTCACAAGCTCGAATCGAGCCGAGACTGCTCTCGAGCTTTTTTTTTTTTATTATTATTATACTTCGTGACAATTCTAACATTTTTTTAAGAAAAATTAAATTTGTACAATTTTTACGAATTACAAATTAAATAAAAATTACAACCCTCCTCCTTTTTTCGAATTTGGGACCGACTACAATCAACGTAAGCGAAGTTAAAATTGTATGGGAATAAAATATTTCGTATACAATTTTTCTTGAAACAAATAATTTTACAAATTACATACTTTTTTTAAATTAATCAATTTAAAAACTAACAATATTCTTATGTTTAGATCTGCTGCAACTCTTCGATCATTATACTATCAAATTGTTATTGAATACGTAATTATGCACATTTGTAGTCCTTTAAGAATATTAAAGCCTCCAATATATCTTTTTTTAGTCTTAATCGTTCTTCTAATGAAATTCAACCACCTAAACTAAATGCAGCCTACGATTCTACCATAGACATCAGAAGTTTTAGTAGATCACGTGCAACTTTGATACAATTGAATATTGCCTTTCATTACACCTCCACCATGATAAAAGATTAAAGTCCTGTAATTTTTTTGTTGTAATACACTACGAACATCTTCGCACGTATACTTAGCTAACTCAGAGGGAATTTCAAGATTTATATCAATAATGTCCATCGCTCTAGATATTGATGAACTAAAACTAAATGGGGGGAATACTTGTATTGGTATCCAAATAATTCCATAAATCATCCTAATTTGTTGAAATATTTATTGAGAAAGAACTTTGGGAGGTAAAATTGCCTTGACCTTCTTTTTCTCAACAAAATAGTTATACAATTAACATAATGTAGACTCTATATGCTCATGTGATAATTCCAAATTCATGAAATTTGAAATCCCCTTTATAATAGCTTTGTGCCAATTAAATTAAGTCAATGATCCATTACCGAAGCAAAAAGAACTAAAGAGAGCAATTCTTCCCAATATTTACGAAATCTTAATTCCATCGAGAAGACCACATCAATAAAAATTTGCAAAGTCCTATATTTATGAAAGATTTGAGCAATGTAGAAAAAATATTATAAAACAAGTGAAGATATAGGGTAATAAACATTGCTACACTCCTTTGTGGCATTGAAAAATGGTTTTAAAAATTTCTTCACACAAAATGCAATAGACTATTTTCAATCTTCCAAATTATGTTTGGGTTTATATGTATGCCTACCATTATAATATAGTGAAATAACTTTATCGTAATTTTACAGAAATGTAACACAAGATATGTAGAGATCCATCTATGTGTTACATAAGTGATAAATAATTTTTCTCCTAAGTTATACTCTGCACACAAACAGTTAAATGCTTGCTTTATGGTTGGTGACACAGTAATATAATTTATTACTTATCTAATTTTATCTAAAGGGGATTTTATATATTCCAATCCATCTTTTACAATCAAATTAGTAATGTGGCATACACAACGTTAATAAAAAATAAATTTCCAAATGTAGGCCTGAGGTTATTAATAAATTTATCAATAATAAATTTATTCACAGGAGCATTATCAAAAGTAAAATTTCGATCCATATATTATCTACCATATTCTTGTATAATATCTCTTAAAACCATGTATATATTAGTTGCGTTATGAGGATATTCTACACATTCGAACGCAATAATCATTTATGTATAAGTCATAGGTGATCAATGTAATAGGCTGTAGCAACAATATACCATTTTTTATTGACACCGGTCCATAAATCGGAGGTAAATGATATAACACTATTAAAATTGTTTAGTTGTTCAATAGTAATTTCTTTTCTTTTGTTATATACTTTCACAATATCTGAACGAAGAGTATTTCTATGATAAGAAGCATAATTGGTTGGAGATAATTCTGCACGAGTCGGGTAAAGTGAATTGAGTTTATCATTGTAAGCGGCATTTCTACTGTAGTCACGTATGCAACTATTTCTTCACGAAATCTTCCATGTGAATATTCAATGGTCGAAATAGTATAACTGGAACCGCCAAAACTAGGTCAATCTGTTTTGGGTCAAGACCGACTAGTTTCGCTTTGCAACTCCTTAATATGTGTCTATTCAAAGCGTTGTCCTTAAACCAAGCTTTCAACTAAGTTTTTTGTCACAGTAATTGCAACATATTTTTCAAATATCAACTCCATTTTGAACAGCAACTTTTTTACATGTCATATATTGTCAACAATCTGAGAATTCTTTTTTCTACCGTTTAAAAGTCTTGAGCACTTCTTCCTCTTTGATATCCTCCAAATCAATCAGAATATTTTGAGATGCGCTATAGTTGGAGTACTGGAACTACCCTCAAACTGATTAATTTCATCACTAATAAAATTCATCTATATTCTATAATAATTATTATAAGAAATGATACCGAATATTAGAATGAAAAAAATTAAATATCAGAACATCAAGATTAGAGATTAAAGTTGAAACTTGAAACTGTAATACCAAGAGTTAAAATTGTTTGAAGAAGATTGATATGAAACTGAAAATTTTAACCCATACTTTTAACAAAAAAATCAATATGTTCGAAATTTGAATTCAAATTTTAAATTGATACTAATTGATGATCTGTATAAAGCTGCCTTAAACAAGCAACACATAGCTGCCTTAGCAAGCAGCAGATTTTTTTTCTAACATGCAGCTTTTTTAAAAATAATATTTCGGCTCGAGTCGACGCCCCAAAATGGTAGGGCTGCACAAAAAAATTGAAAAATCGCAAACTGAACCTAAACTGCACAAAAAAATGTGAAATAGTAAGACCTGTGGTTTTTTTCCCTCAAATCGAACCAAATTGTTTCAAAATGGTTTGATTTAAGTTTTAATTTTCAAAAATGGCACAAAATCGAATCAAACAATTTTAAAATTTTTTAATCAAAATATTAATTTTATTAACTTAAAAATTTTACCCTTTTTACTTTTCAGAAAAAAATATCAATTTAGCAATACAAATTACAAACAATTTATTGAAATAATCATAGAAAGCAAATTAGGATCGTTATTATTGGCATATGGTTTAACAAGTTCACAATACATGTCCTTACCCGATATCTAAATTAAGCTAAAATTATTCCAAATCATATGAATTAAAAAAAAAACCATATATTTTCAACAATCAAATCATAATTCAACAAAACTCTATTAGCAAATCACGTCAAAAGTTTGAGAAGCTAACATAAACTCTCACTTTCCTAATATTTGACGTTTGTCTGTCACTGCTGAACAAATCTTCAGTTGTGCTTTACCTGTTAGTCTGCTAATTCCTACTCGAATGACCTCTTTCTCTCTTCTATTTTGGTAAATCTCAAATTCTCATTCAAGCCGTTTTGTCGTTGTTCTTTCTTTTATTTGTTATTTCTGAACTTATTATATACTAGTGAATTGTGGTTTGTATAAAAAAATTATTGTTTGTGTACCTAAATGATTAATAAACTTGTTTGTAGTTTGGAAAAAACAAATGACGGATGATATTGATTGTGTGAAAATATTAAAGTTTCCTAAATAGTAATACTACCTTCTACTTTTATAAAGTAGTTAGAGAATGAAATTCGTCAATTTTCAATAAGTCGGAACTCTATCAATCTTTGTACATCTAAACATATCTTGTTCAATCCTTATTTAACATCTCACTAGCAAGACGACAATAGTTATAACCAAACTATAATAGCAGAATATAAGTCTACCTTTACCAACCGCTATATGACAATATGAATGTCAAACAAAAAAGTGTAGATAAAAATGAAGAAATATGTATTTGTTCTATTAAAATTTTTTAGCAACCAACTTTGAAAATAATTTTTTCATGGATTTTATTGTAAATATGAATGTAATTTAATATTTAACATTATTAGATCTCGTTTAAGCTTATATGTTAACTTATATTAAATATATTACTATAATTTTGATAGGTAAATCGTGGATTAAAACCGAACCAAACTGCAAATTATGGTTTGGTTTGGTTCAAAAAATAAAATAGTTTGATTTTGTTTGGAAAAATTTAAAACCGTATAAAATAGTTTAAGTTGAAAATATAACACAAACTTTCCAAACCAAATTGTATTCAACCTACAAAATGGGGCTCGGCTTGAGCATTGATTCGGATTTTTCGAGCGGCAGCTTGAGCCGACGAACTCGATTGTCATCCCTGCTATCAAAGCTTAAATCACGCTTTAGTTAATTGCGGAAAAAAAAAAATCATAGTTTTGGCTCATGAAAGATGTAGCATGCCTTTTTTTGAAATGTTTTGGATGTATTTTTTCGGCAATGGTCAATGGTGAAGGTCCAAACCCTAAGTTTCCTATATTCGAAGATGAGTGACAAGTCGTCATTCCATCACTTTCACTTCCCCTTTTGTGCTTATGGTTCATGATACAAGTATTGACACCTCTTGCCCTTTTGCATCAAATGGTGTATGTAGTAAACACAACACTACTTCAGTCGAGATTGTAAACTTTTGTCTTTAACCTTTCCCCTTGAGCTCTTGAGAGATAATATGTTTAACATTGTCTGATGCTTAAAATGGTTAGAGTAATTATTTATGGTTAGATTTTCTAATCAATTTTTATCTAGAACATTATCTTTGGTCACGTGCATTGAGTTATAAGAAGAATGCGTCTATTGTCGTACTCATGATTATATGGTAATTGAGTCGAGTCCCAAATTAGGGATTTGTCCCACCTTCTCAATGAGTTGAGGTCGTATTGCTCATTTCACTTTAAGGGACATTGATCTGTTACGACGCATCATTGCATGTTTTCAGGTAGTTGGACAATATGAAAAGGAACATTGTCATAAATTCATGTATGACGATAAACATTCTAAGGTAATCGTGATGCACGATGATTCACTACGAGCTAAAAAAGAGGCCTTGCTACTATTGACATTCAATGCAAGGTGAAAACTTAATCGTCATGAAGTTTTACGATTGAATTAGTGAGTTAGAATAAACAATGAGGCGATAACATAGCATATCGCGCCCTATGTGGAGATGTAGTCGACTCCTTGTTTTATATTTGTAAAATTGATGGATTTAGTGGCCGATTTACAAACTTTTGGCCACTTGTCACTATTCAAAAAATAATTAGAATGTTGTGATCGTTTAAAAATAATAATAATATCTCCGTGATAGTTTATCATGTTTAATTGTCTGAGGGGCGAAATCATAAATAATGAAAATCTATAATCTATTAAAGTGTCACATTAAAGGAGAATAATTTTTTGGACGATTTTAACCTTCTTACAATGCAATTATTTTAATAATACCTTAGTTTTCGTTTTCAATATGTAATAAATATTATATAATTATTGTTGTTTACGAAATTTGTGTTATTAATTCTCAATTAATTAATATTAACATTAATATAGATTCAATAAATTTTCATTCAATGGATTTTTAATTATATGAATCTAGAGTTATTATAAGTGAATTTATTCATATTCATGTATCTAAAAATTTTAATGAGTGTTTAAATTTATGTATTAACAATTAATTTTGTGTATCAAACGTGATGTAGAAAATTGCCAATTCATAGTATTTTTTCATTACAAAAAATTTGATTCTTAGAAATTAAGTTTTGAGAGTACAATTTTCTTTTCTTAAATTTTTATACCAAATTATATATTTTTTAATTCGTTCGAGTCACATCAAATCTTTCTACAAATTGGTGGCAAATATTACTTTTATATCATTTATAAAGTATTTTAGAATAATGTGCAATGCACATTCAACTCTAATTAGTTAAATAAAAAACAAGTAAAAAGAAAAGATAAATAAAATAAAATGAAAATAATTATACACAAATAAATAAATAAATAAATTTTTAAGGAAACCCACTAGAAATAATTCAATTCAGTTGTCGTCTTCGTTTCCCCAACCCTAATTCCATAACCCCGAATTGAATCGAATCAAATCAAATTCAGTAAATCCCTCTGTAAGAGCAGCAGAATATCAAATCAATTATGTTGTTATCTCCTGGCCACTCTCCCCGCCACATCTCCACCCCGTCCAATCAAACGCCACAAAACCCTAGCCCTAATACCAATTCCATTGTTTCTAATTCCGATTCAGATTTCCCCAACCGGAAGCGGCATCGCGGTTCCACCGTCCTCGACGAGGATACGTATGTTGCGGCGATCGAGAAGATTATAGAGCGAGACTTCTTCCCTGATATCCCCAAGCTCCAGGACCGCCTCGATTGGCTCCAAGCCGTGCGCTCCCACGATCCCGTACTTATCCGCGATGCCCAGCTCAAGATTCTTGATCGTCGTCGCCAACGAAAAGAATCTTCTGCCGATGCTTCGTTCCGGGCCACGACCAGCACTCCCGGTTCCACCTTCTTCCGGAACACCTCAGTTACTCCCTCCCTTTATAACGAGAACAAAGAAAGTTTTGCTAATGATGAAGGCGACAAGGGTACTGGCGATGGTGAAGGAGAAGGTGTGGATACGTCGGTGAGTTTGGACGACTTCTTTAAGAAATACACCAGCGAGGACAATGAGAGCTTTTCGAGAATTATAGAGAAAGTGAATAGGAAGAGGAAGGAGAAATATGAGTTTTTGTTGGAAGGTGAGAAAAGGGGAGATGATTCAGGAAATTTGATTGAGGATGATAATAAACGTGGGCAAATTGCTACAGATGGGTTTGGGACGTCTGATCGGCCTGTTAGTACTTTGGATGGGTGGAAGTACACAGCCAAGAATTTACTGATGTACCACCCTGCTGATAGAGGAGAAGCTCCCTTGACCCTGGAGGAGAGAGCCATAAGGCTGAAGGGTATGACAAAGGAGATTAGCAGAGTTAACACACGTTTTCATGCCAAGTTGGTAGATGCAAGTGCTTCAACGGATGAAGATGATACTGTGGCAGTGCTTTATGCACCTGTGGCTGGTGGTACTCCAGTTCCGGTGTCAAATAGAGACCGTGATAATTTGAAGAAGTATGATTTGGAGGATTTGAGGAAAACCCCGAATAGATTTTATGTGGAATCCGAGAAGAAAGCAGATAATGGGTATAATTTTGTGAAGACGCCATCTCCTGCCCCAGGAGTTGATGAATCACCATTTATCACGTGGGGAGAAATTGAAGGAACTCCATTGAGACTAGAGTCTGAAGACACTCCCATTGATATTGGGGGCACTGGTGATGGGCCACAGTTTAAAATTCCAATGCCACCTTCGAGGGATGTAAAGGCTCATTCCTTGTCTAGGGATGCTGCGAAAAAAATCAGGGAGAGGTCTAAGATGTTTCAGAAGCCTCCATTGCCTTCGCCGGTCAGAGGGGGAAGTGCTAGTCCAAGTAAACGAAGGTTTTCACCTGCTGCACAGAAGTTTATGAGGAATGCAATTGCCAAGTCTTCTCGATCCATTGATGAATCGCTGAGAGCGAGTTACCGCAGCCCAAGCCCTGGGTTGAGTACTCCTAAAACTGGAAGAAGCATGTCAAGGTTGGGAAGAGATGACAGCGGGACTTCCAGGTCACCTTCTGTAAGAGAAGGCTCTAATCCTCCTTGGTAACTTGTAATTTGTATCTTCCTTTGTTTAGCGGGCTGTTTTGCAGTGAATCAGAATTGATGTATTGAGCGTGCACATCGTTTGCCTTCTAATTACTTTGTGTGCTTGATAAAAAGTGAAAACCAAGATTATAAGATAATAAACATGTCTATTGGCTATATCTTCGTCTTTTAGTCAGTGAAACTTGTGGGATTCTATATTCTTTTTTATAAAAGAGTAGGATAATTCTGCTTCAATTTGGTTGCCTGGATCTGGGTGTAAAATGTGGGAGGAACAAGCTTCTTGGTATCAATTTTATAGGTATATGTTACGGTTGGAGCTCAACTTCAACCAAAACTTACTAAATTCAACTTAAAATCAACACCCAATTGAAGCATTCAGCTGGGAATCAATAACCCAAGCAGTAATGCTATTAATTGAAATGAAAATACAATAAAATAGTGAAATGTAAGCAGAAAGGGGAGGGGAATATGCAGAAAATCTGAAGAACCCAGATTAGAGAAATAGAAAGAGGGAGAGAAACAGACTCAAGAAATGAAGAGAAGGAGAAGAAGAACCGAGATTTAGAGATTTCAAAGGGTTAGAGAAAGAAAGGGGGGGGGGGGGGTTCTCTTTG